GGGTGGGACATCTGAAGGGTCCCTGTTTTGTTTTGGCTTTGTGGTTGACTGAAGGGTGCAGATCCACTGTTCTGAGATAAAACAGTCATATCTTAATTAAGACGTGCCGCTTAACTGTTAACAGTCAAAGTCAGCGCTGTGTACGTCCCTCTGTGCCAGGGGCGGCACCTGCAGTACAAGAATATTCGCCGCACTATGAATCAATAAAACAATATCATAATTTCTTCTTTTGTTGTTTTGTTTTTTTAGGGCGAGGTCGTTTTTCAAGCTTGACTGATTGAAAGTGGTCTGACTACTCAAGGTAACAACTGGAGGGGGGGTTCTTTGCTGCTTGTATAATGCAGTCTTTGGCAGGCTCTCTCTTTGTATTAGATACATTAGGACGGAAATGTGCACTAACTTAAAAATGCTCATGTGAAAAAACATGGAATGTATTAAATTAATGGTCTCTTTTGCCTCAGGGCAGTAATGAAAAGGGACCCCCAATGAGTTCATTTTTCACGGCTTTGGTTATGCATTCAACACTCTAATTGAATTTCAATGTAAGTTTTACAAAGTCTTTATCACAGTGACTCTTGATGCAGATTTCATGTGATCTATCGTGGTACTTCCGCCCATTAAGTAATTTAATTGTGACATGCACTTTCTACACACCTTATGCTTTTATGCCTATTCCTCCTCATCTGAATTGTCAGTTTCCTCTGTTATCCGCGCTGTTTATGTGGATTGGTAGGAAGGTAGTCTGCATACTGTATACTCTCGGCAACTTTCACGAGAACAGCTCCTTAAAAGGAGTAATTGCTGTTAAGACAGGGGACAGCACCCGACAGCTAGAGTATTCTGCAGTATACACAAGTCACAAGGATTTGCAAGATGACTGCACACAGAGCACATTTTATCTGGGAAAATATTAGATTTACCCTTTGAAGAGGAGGAATACAGCTCTCAGAACTAATACAATTAATCGCATTTCCTAATTTCAAGAGAAGCTTTTTAATAAACACATAAGAATTCAAGAGAAAATGAAAATAAACAGACAGTATATTCTCTTTCTGAAATGAAACCTGGGAGTCAGTTTTCTCTGTCTCCATCTAGTGTTTCTGCCTGAAGTCACTTTTTGAGCTTTCGAACATGCAGAGCATAAATAGAAAACCATCGCCCCCCATTTCCTTTAACATTTGAACACAAAAGGTCTAAACAAAACATTCACACACTAACAAGACGGAAATGTTAATCACAAACTGTGCATTTCACATCAGTAGCCAGGCACTGCGGGCACACGTGTGAATGTGCATGAGACGTATGAAATACTGAGGCTGAACTGACCTGATCATTAGAAAGGGGAAGAGGCTTGACCTGATATTTCCTCTGTTGTTTGGTCAGGAAAGGGACGTTATTGTAAAAGGGCTGTAAAGATAAATAACCTTGCCGTTACCATGGCAAAGGCACAAACAGCGGCAGCCAAAGACAAAAGAGCACAAGACAATAAATCCAACACTGTCAATTTTGTTTAGTTTTCAGAGTGTTTTTGAGGGAAATATAGTTTCAAAACAACAGGCCACGTCTATTTTTCCACAGAGAAAGGGAAATCAGATCGGTTTTTTCTGGGTTTTTTTAAACAGGCCACAGTTTCATCTTGTAGATTTCTTTCCAGGCCACGCCATCCTGATTGGTAATAGGAATATCTGACACCATATTTTGCCTCTGGATCAGGAAACTCCTTGTACAGCTGCATACATGTTTTTATAGCCTTCGAAGGAAAGGGCATTGTCTTTAAAATCCTAAGAATGCTTTGTCCGGCCTTCAAATGTAAGTGGAAAACCATCCCAGGCACGGCATTTTTTTTTTACAAGCTGAACAATCAAGAGTGTATATGTGCACATATGCCTTTTTCCTGAGGTCAACTAGAGTTCATTTCATAAGAACAAATACAGGTCATCAACGTTTTATATTATAAGTATGAATTAAGGGGAATTCACACAAGTCTGATTAAAGTTGTTGGGAAGTACAACTGCATGTGCAAACATTTGTATAAAGTATTTTGTGATATTAGGGGAAGTAGAGAGAAATTGGACAAATGTGTTTTTAAACTCACTTCAGTAAGTTTCAGTGTGAGCTGAAGACAGTTTGAAATGGAAAACAAATCTGGAGTGGAGTTGGAAAATATAGATCTTACCAGATCCCTGCTGGCTCTCTGCTTGAAGCTAGCAGCTCGAGGCTACATCAGGTGCTACTAGCATAACACACCTGAATCTATGCTGGTAATAAAGCTGCATTGTGGGTAATGTAGGCACCATGTTTTGACAAGGGAGAAAAGTGCATGGAAGAAAAAAAGAAGACATGTAGTGTTTTGCTGCATGAGCTATGGTTAGCAGTTAATTGCTGTATTAAAAGCTCCTTTACTGTATATACAAACTCATTTATTCAAGACTCAAATTAACAGAAAAGATTCAGGTATAACTTGAACTTTTTTCCAACTTTCTATCATCTCCCAAACACATACAGTGAAAAAAAACCCTCCATTGCTGGCCCCTTCTCTGTCCCCTCCTCAACACGGCCCCATCGACTCATCGCCAGGGGAGATGAGCATCGTCAGGAGCGAGGCGTGATGAGGAGGAGGCCTTATCACTCCAATACAAGAGCAAACACAGGAGTCTTTACAGCACGTCGTCTCAGGAAGCAGCACACGGCAAGATTACTGCCCTTTAAGAAGCCCTAAGACACGGCCAATCCCAAGTAGTGTTTTATCTTGACAGTTTGCAGAGCTTTGTTTGCCTTTTCTGTGAAGCCTGGGGATAAAAGAGCAGCCTCTGTGAGCTGTGTCTGATTAGGATCTAATTGTTAACATTCACTGTTCCTTTTTTATTATCAGCCCGGCGTTGCCATACATGCGGCAGGTAGAGGCCTTTCTACTGTTGTGAAGGACTCTCCCCTTTGCTGCTCTCGTGTGTTACTCAAGTACTAGTTAGCACTAAGGTGGCAGGAGAGGAGCCCCGAGCTCGTCGACATCAACAACAACAACAACAACATCAACAAACAGGAATTGATGGCGAGTGTTTATTATCTGGTTTAATTGCTCCTCATCTGGAGGATCTGACAGTTGCGGTTAATGAGAGAGAGAGAGGAGGCACGCACTGTTGGCAGTGAGCTTCATAGTGTAAGACTTGTAAGGGTGGGGGTGTGTGTGTGTGTGTGTGTGTGTGTGTGTGTGTGTAGTAAAGAAGAGGGTAGACCACATACAGATCAACGGAAGCAACACAAAAAATGTGGGAAACGTCAAACAATTGTTTACCAACTTATCAAAACAGGGCCCTAAAATCAGGAATTTCAAGTCCAACCTGATCCTCCTTTTACTGTAAACTGTGTGTCATTACTGCACAGAAACAAGAAATACACCTGTAAAGCTGCACACCCACACACACACACACACACACACACACACACACACACACACACACACACACACACACACACATACTCAGATCTTGCAGGCTGCGTTCACTAATCAGATGCCGAGCAAAGACAGGATATCACTGAAATCGAGCCTCTTCCTCTATATTTCATCTGGCCTGCAGCAGGCTTGGCTCAGGTCCAGCCAGGACCTCCCTGACATTGTGCAGTGTCACGCACACACTGACACACACATCCAGGCCCGGTGTGACAAAGGAAGCATCGAACCAGTAGGCCTTCATGTCCGTTGGGTATGCTTGTAGAAAAGCTGAGAGAATGAGGGAAATTGTACTTCTACTAACGATATTGCCCCTCTATAGAATGCCAGACACACATAAACACACAATTAAACACACACCACCACAACCACCATCAAAGGCTCGTTGTCCCATTCATAAATGTCTCCCCTTGAGGAACACTAGCATATCTTAAACAGGGCCTACCCGCCCCCTTTACTACTCCCGCTCAGCAGGCCCACATGGGAACAATTAGGGGTGTACGCAAGTTTGGCGAAGGTCCGTAGCAACTAGCTGCATCTGTTTTTATTTACCTTTTGCTCTGGTGCTGGATAATGTCATGAGCACATCTGCTACTGTGCAACGTAACCGTGGTTACATGCGTGGTTGACCCATGATTCTGTAATTACCCGGCGAGCGAGATGAAGAGGCCCAGCAAACCACTCAAAGCCACACATAGCCTTCCTCCCCCTCATCCTCCCCACGACTCTCCAGTGGCATGGCATCCCGTCTGCCTCGCCAGAACTAACGCTGCAGCGAGGAGGAGGCTGAAGTGGCATTTAATGACCCAAAGTTGTCCACAATAGTAATTTTAACTTCATTTTGGTGTCATTAAATTACCAGTCAGTTAATGACACTCTCTTTCTATTATGAAGGATCAAATGTGGTTATTCTCAAATGAGCTGGGATGAGATGCACTTATCAAATTTCCTGATCTGATCTGATTGCTTGTTTGTGGTCACATGATACAAGCTGCACAGTTTGTTGCCCAGTCTTGTTGCTGGGTCACTCTGGGAGGTCTGGGAACTTTACCTAGAAATATCTCATTTTTGCAGCTTCAGGCAGGTTTGTTCGGATTAGATCACAAAGATCTAATCAGGATAAGCACATAGGCCACGCGAGGACTTACTGTTAAAGTCCTTGCTTAAAAAAATGATGACCCATGCACAACTGGTCACAAAGACACTGGGATTAATCAGCTGCAGGGCAGAGTGCAGAACGATGCCTCAGATGTGTTTCAGATATGTGAATAAACAGCAAAACGTTTCACTTTCACCAAGGCCCTTTGAAATTCTGAAAGCTCACATTATTGAGCATCTTTACACGGCAAACTCAAAGCGGCCAATCAAGGCTTGTTTATAATAATGATGAGTGATTATGAGCAATAACAATGAAGACCATATATGGATCACTTCACAGGAGCAGTGTGTGTGGAGGTTGGGTGCCACCATGCTTAGCATCTCCCAGATGTGCAAACCATATGCTCTGACTGAAATTAAAACAAAAGAGAAACAGGGAAACATGAAAGGGATTTTTAACTTTGTAAAGACAGTTAACAGTCGGTACAGATAGGGTAATGACCGAGAGAGGCCACATGAAAGAAGCAGGGATGTTGGTGTGTTTTTTGCACCACTCATTCCATTTCCTGCTCATAAGTTCACTGAGCAGATGGGGACCAAAGGCACAAGGAAGTTTAGATTTTCTGCCCCACAGCCCATTGTATATGATGCATGTAACTGCGTAACACTGCACTGTTATCATTTACAGACCCTTTGGTGCATACCAGGAGGTCACAATAACACAGGTGGAAGAAAAAAAGGCTGGGAACAAAGGAGAAACATCTTCAGTCATTTCACTCCAAATAATAATTGATGGCAAGAAATACATTTAAGGTATATATTTAAAGCAATTATTTAACTACATTGGCAAAGATGATTTCAAAATAATATAAAATCTTCTTTCATCTAGATGTTGCTATTTTCAGTGGTCATGACTTACATACAGCTCATCTGTCAATGAAGACATATAGTAACTACAAAAATGAAAAGAAATTGAAGTAAAATGTGTTAATGTTAAAATGAGCCTCTTCAGGCAGGCTGCTGGCCTTGCGAGGTTTTCTGAAAACACATGCAACAGTGCCCTCTCCTGTTGGTTCAGCGTACTGCAGCAAAGACACATTTAGCAACATCACAGCTGATTTTTGTCAGAAAATGTATTCATTTTTATCAGAAGAGAAAAACAAAATTAAAAGGTGTCCATTTGTAATGTGTCGATACATAAAGCCTCTGAAAATCAGTTTAAAGTATCTGTTAAATATAAAGTCTTTATTACGAGCCTCTTCTCTGGATGGTGGCAGGCTGCAGGGTCTTCTCTACGTCAGCCTGTTGTGCTGCTCGGGTAGAGACATGTTTATTTAACGCCTGCCTTGTCTGCGTCTGGATAATATCCCCCCTCAGGCAGCGGCTGGCAGGGGCCTGGATGTATTTCTGTTTGTATAATCAACCTTCACAGCGCTGACTGACCACAGCGTCACCTTTCAAGACTGCAAACAGACACAAAGCACCAATGACAATGAGAGTCAAAATGCATAAAAGCAAAAGTTGTCACTGCGATGAAACTGTAACTGTAGTGTGTTGGCACTTGTAAAAACAAGACCAACGAAATTAAATGTAAAAAAACATATGGAGTTTTAAGTAATGGAAACAATGTGTTTGAATTTAAATACATCAGTATTTATTTCATTTTAGGTGTAAGCTTGGCAAACAACTTTGGTGATTCAAATGTTGTTTGCCAAGCTTACACCTAAAATGAAATGCAGGTTGTATCATGGGATATTGGAAAAGGTTTATTTATTTAGATTACAAAGATTAGGCCAAATGGACAGTGCTGTTTCTGTCCGTTTTCTAGTCTTCCCAGATCCACTTCAGTCTTCTCTGTTTTTCTTTATTCCCTCGTGTTGTGTTGAATTGTTGGTATCCTGGTTCAGGTGCAGGAGGACAGATGTTTCTGATGGTTCAGCTGATGACTGAAGGAAATCTGATTCTCCTGAAGTACGTATGGTCACATTTAGAAAATCAAAAAAGCTTATTTCAGTTGAATTGGTGTCTCCGTCAAACCAAGAAGACACATTTCCACTTTGACTCTTTGACAGATCATCAGTGTGGGAATGAGAGCTGCTGTCCTCAGTCTGTGTGCGAGGTGGAATAGTTGTGGAAAACGTTGATGTTGTTTCTTTGTATGGAGCTCTCACGTTTAAGCGGTCCAACAGCGTCTGTTCTGTAGCTGAACTCTGGGGTTTAAAGTTCAGAGTGGAGCGGGCTGTGGTGTTGGGACCAGGAGGAGGGGGGGTCCTGTGTGATGCAGCTGGCCTGGCTGTGGACGTATAATTGCATAATTTAGTTACAGTAAATTCATTAACATTCAAAAATGATATTTATGAGTCTATATTTCTAATATTTGGATTTCAGCTGAAGGAGTAACATTAGTAACATACAGCTCTGAAAAAAATTAAGAGACCACTGCAACATTATCAGTTTCTGTCAGTGGCGAACCGTCAGGGCCTTCAAGGTATTCAGAGAATACCCTGGAACACTCAGATAAAACAAACAAAAAAATCGATTTAATTTTATAACTAAAATGTATATTAAATGAATAAATGAGAATCGTATCTGTGTTGTTGATCTAATATTACAGTGTTACGTTGATTTGTTTGTCCTTCTCGGACCATGCACTACGCATTTCAGTGGTTTTGTGTTAGAAAAGAAAGCAACCAATCAGATCTTGTTCTGGGTCTCTGGGTAGAATATCCTTCCACCAAGGTATTCTACATCCTTGATCGAATGCCCTGGGGTCCTTCTCACTTCGGTTAAATGGATTCCTTGCGTCCCTCACTTGCGTCGTTTCCCTGCGTCTATTCCCTCCCACCAGGGAAGCATGGAGAGACGCAAGGAAACCACGAGAAGCAGGGAAATGAGTTTTAAGAGCAATGGGACGTCCTTTCCTCCGGATAGTCACGTGAATCGACGTCCGTTTGTGATGACGCTGCACAGCTGATCGTCTGACAGCAGGGTCGCGTTCCAATAGTCCAAAAATCAGCTCCTAAATTCTAACCCTATCTCCTATTCCTTGACCTCTGAGTGAAACGTCACGGGGTTAAGGTATAGTGGATAGGAGAATTCAAAAGGACTTAGGAGAAGAGACTGCGGGGTTGCGTTCCAATAGTCCATTTAGCTTAGGAACCTTCCTAACGGAGTGAAATGACCCGGAAGTACGTCACTGGCAGCCATGATAAGTGCCGTTCCAATTCTCTAAATGAAAGGAAAGGAGGTTTCAAAATTCCTTTATAACCTCTTTTAGCTTAGGAACCACTCCCTAACCGAAAGGAGAGGAGAAAATGCTGCCCCACAATGCATTGCAGCCGCAGCATTTGCCGTCACTCAACAATCGGCCGTTCACGGAAACAACCGATTATGACCGAGAAATGATATCATGAAAGTTACGGTGCTTATTAAGCTTTTTAAAACGTATGTGGTAAGTTGCCAAAGTGCTTTTTTCTGAACGTTCATCAGTATTATAATCAAAAAGAGAAATATGAACGTTAGTTTTTACTGAAATGATCAAATAAAGTCAACATCTCACAGTCTTTACTGAGCTGTGTGGGGTTTGTTCAACTTTTAAAAGATGTTTGAATGGTGATATACACAGTGATAGATGTTAAGGACTAACGTTTATAATAAATACATTTGTATTGATTTTAAGATATTTCCATAGTTCATACAATCATACGTATTGGGATCATTTGTATTAATGTGGACCGGAGGGAGAGGGTGACGAGCATAAGTTTCACTTTCCTTTTTTATTTCAATTCCAACTTTGGTCATGAAGAATATGTTTCTCTGTTGTCCACGTTCATAAAGCATAAAGCAACAGCATCAGAGCACGGTGCAGAGTCTCTAGATGAGTTTACAGTAGTCCCTCGTTCTTATTATACATCCATGTTGTAGTCCGCTGTATAGAAAACTGTAGTTTCCATAGTTTCCCCACAGCAGCAGACGCACATTCATGACGTCCGCTGGCGCATCATACACACGTAGGATAGTGAAAGTGCATTCGGATTCTCTAATACAAATGTATTTGTTATAAACGTTAGTCCTTAACATCTATCACTGTGTATATCACCATTCAAACATCTTTTAAAAGTTGAATAAACCCCACACAGCTCAATAAAGACTGTGAGATGTTGACTTTATTTGATCATTTCAGTAAAAACTAACGTTCATATTTCTCTTTTTGATTATAATACTGATGAACGTTCAGAACAAAGCACTTTGGCAACTTACCACCTACGTTTTAAAAAGCTTAATAAGCACCGTAACGTTCATGATATAATTTCTCCGTCATAATCGGTTGTTTCCGTGAACGGCCGACTGTTGAGTGACGGCAAATGCTGCGGCTGCAATGCATTGTGGGGCAGCATTTTCTCCTCTCCTTTCGGTAAGGGAGGTCCAGTGGTTCCTAAGCTAAAGGAGGTTATAAAGGAAGCTTGAAACCTCCTTTCCTTTCATTTAGAGAATTGGAACGGCACTTAACATGTCTGCCACTGAGGGACTTCCGGGTCATTTCACTCCGTTAGGAAGGGTCCTAAGCTAAATGGACTATTGGAACGCAACCCTCCTCTGTCCCCGTTATTTCCACACACACCCCCGCCTGTTAGTACACATTTACTGACACAAACATTTGTATAATCTGTTGTAGACCCAAATACATTAAATAAAATAAGAACTCATTCTCAAAAAAGATAAACGCCATTCTTAAAATGTATAAACGAAAAAAGCGATCATGAAAATGTTTCCAATAAATGAAGAAAATTATTTTTGACCACTTTGTTGTTCAGATATATCACATATTTGTAACTAAATGATACATTAATTAAAACAAAACACGGTATAAACTGAGGAGTGACTCCCGTGACGTTCATGTGTTTTCTTCACTCCACTCCGCTGGGAAACTGCATCAGATCAGTGCATGCACTGCCTCGTCCAATCAGTGAGCGATACACAGTAAGGGGGCGGGGCGAGTGTCTGAGGATTTCATCGAAGGATGGTCTGGTGGTTCCTCGGTTATAGCTCCTCCATTATCGCTCCTCGATCCTCGGTCCTCCGGCAGAAATAAGGCCATTGGGACGCTACTCAAGATGGCACAATATATATATATATATATATATATTTATATTTAATATATATATAAATATTTTGCCCAGTAAGTTCAACTTTTCAAAAGAATTATAAAAGAATATAACTATTCATAAATATGTTTTGACAAAGGGAGTGTGTAGTTGCACTTTTAGGAACAATGTGGCAACATTTTAATGTAGACCAACTCAGACTCAAATAAATAATGAAATCAGAATATTTTTAAGATGTCTTTTAAAAATGTCTTAAATTAATTATCTGATTGATTTTATGATCTGGACACTTGTTTGTATGCAAAGGAAACACATGCTAAATCAACAGATGAAAATAGATGAACATCTTTTCGCCATGAAGATTATCTGCATCTAAATTATACGTTTTAGGTGTTCAAAAATATGGGATTGTATTATTTTATTTTTAAATTTGATTTCTCTCTGTTGTGTTTGTTTTCCATCAATCACCTCTGTTCTCACTTCTCTCTCACTTTGAATTGTTTGAAAGGTGCTACATAAAGTGCAATGATTAATTGACTGAGCAACAAACAAAAGTAAGTGCCTGGTGTGACTCCACAGTAAAAGCCTTTCAATGGCTAGTGGTCAAAATATCATCCCATAATTAATCACCACTTTAGTTTTACTGTGTTCATCAGCAGCACACTCACCTGTGCATGGCAGGGTGTTCTCCATGCTCCACTGCATTTTGTGATGTGTCTCTTTGAAGGTGAGCACAACATCCACCCGGTAGAATGGCTGCAGGAGGCGCTTGCTGTCTGCACAGCTCTGTAAAACAAACACACCATAATGAGTCCTTAAATGACACATAGAACTTAGACTTTAAGAAATGTCAGAAACAGAAAATGAACCACCATGGGCACCAACCTTGGTCTGGAGTATTTGGGCTGTAGGAATAATCAGTGTCACAAATGCACTCGTCTCGTGCAAGGTGAAGTTATCCGTCTGGTTCACCCACACGTCACTGACAGTCAGAGCTTCGTTTTCCCGGCTGCCTCGCTTGGTTAGACCCATACGCCGTTTGAAAATGTGCAGCACAGTCTCCTCTGCTGTGGATGTGTTCACTGAAAGGGGATACAATGAGTTGCTGGAATTACATTTAATCAAGCACACTTTTGAGGCTCTTTTATTTAAATGTTCATATTTTTACAATATTTAAAAATATATTTATGACAGATGTAGTTACTAGAGCCCTTTCAAATCATTGATTTCCGGCTTGTGACCACAACATTTTTAAGTTAAAAAAAACTAAATCCAAATGTGTTTATTAGAACTTAGTTTGTTCTCCTTTCCAATCCTCGTTGATCATCTAATAACCCTTTTTCTTTGGGGAAACATACTACAAAAAAAACAATAGCAAACTTAATATAAAGAAGTTAAAAAGCTTAGCTCCACCTTGACCGGCTGCAAGAGTCAAATAGAATGTATATATTGTAGTGCCGTGAAAAGAGAGTCGGAGGCGGTGTATTAAGAATGGAGTTCCAATCTTTATTATCCATTACTTTCAGAGAGGTTAACACATGCACTGCTCTGCCTGATGAGCTAGCAGGAATGGCAGCTAAAGCTACAGGTGTTCCCCACTAAAGGGTCTGTGTGGCAACACAATAAGCAAGGTGAATTATGTCCAATAACGTGTCACCACACAAGCCCCCCCAGAATTCACACATAAACAAAATCAGCATGGCGGGGAGGAACGACACGCCGACCCCCACGACTCCTGAGCACGGGAGTCGGAAAAGTGACTCCCGCCTGTGCGGCCCCCGGAAGGGGAGGGACCGGAACAACAGGTCTTAAATCCGTGACAGGGGACGAGGCCGGGGGGCGGCCCCGTCGCGGAGGTCGAGCCAGCACCACAGGCTGGTCCAAGTCCAGGTGAGCAGCCTTCACCCGGTCCACCGAGACGTGCTCGGCCTTGCCACCCAGGTCGACCACCAGGTGCTTGTCCCCGTGCTCCAAGACCCGGAAAGGCCCATCATAAGGGGGCTGCAGGGGGCCTCTGTGCGCATCGTGCCGGATGAACACGTGCTCCGCCGAGCGGAGCTCTGCGGGAACCTGGGACACCTGAGTACCGTGCTGAGTAGTAGGGATCGGAACAAAGGCCTCAGCGGCGTCACGCAGGAAAGCCCGCTGGGTCGACGCCGACCAGGGAGCCGATGCATTTGGGAGGAAATCCCCCGGAACTCTCAGCGGCTGACCGTAGACCATCTCCGCTGTAGAACACTGCAGATCTTCCTTAGGTGCGGTCCTCAGGCCCAGCATCACCCAGGGCAGCTTGTCGACCCAGTTACCGTCCGTAAGGCCGGCCTTGAGGGCCGCCTTCATGGAGCGATGAAAGCGCTCGCAGAGACCGTTAGCCTGAGGGTGGTAAGCGGTAGTCCTGTGCAGCTTAACCCCCAAACCGCCTGCCACAGCGTTCCAGAGCTCGGACGTGAACTGAGAGCCCCTGTCTGAGGAAATGTCTGACGGGGTGCCAAAACGACACACCCACGTTGCAATGAAGGCCCGGGCAACGTCTGCGGCTGATGTCGAAACGAGCGGAACCGCCTCCGGCCAACGGGTCGTCCTGTCCACCATGGTGAGGAGGTAGGAAAACCCCTGAGAGGAAGGCAACGGACCAACCAGGTCAATGTTGACGTGATCAAACCTCCTCTCAGGCACCAGGAAACGTTCCAACGGGGCCTTCGTGTGGCGGTGCACCTTAGCGCGTTGACAAGCCACGCACTCCCTGGCCCAAGTCCTCACGTCCCTTTTCAGTCCTTGCCAAACGAACTTCGCCGCTACCAAACGGACCGAAGGTTTAACGCCGGGGTGTGACAGGCCGTGCACAGCCTCGAACACAGGACGCCTCCAGCTGGCAGGGACGACAGGCCGCGCCAGGCCCGTAGAGACGTCACACAGGAGAGTAATGCCCGCGTCGCCGAACACCACGTCCTCCAAGCGCAGCCCCGCGCTCTCCACCTTCAGGGCCTGGACGCCGGGATCTGTGACTTGGTCTGCCGCCATGCGAGTATAGTCCAGGCCCAACTGGACGGCACCGATGACGACCCTGGAGAGGCAATCAGCAACCAGGTTCGACTTGCCAGCCACGTGCTTAATGTCCGTAGTGAACTCCGATATGTAGGACAGCTGCCGCTGCTGACGTGCCGACCAAGGCTCCGCCACTTTTGACATGGCAAAGGTGAGCGGCTTGTGGTCGACAAACGCCGTAAATTCACGGCCTTCCAGCATGAAACGGAAGTGCCGCACGGCCAAATAAAGTCCGAGGAGCTCCCGGTCAAAGGCGCTGTATTTGCGTTCTCTAGGCGTCAGCTGGCGGCTGAAAAAGGCGAGCGGCTGCCAAGCGCCCTCCACCCACTGCTCGTGCACTGCGCCGACCGCGTAGTCTGACGCGTCCGTGGTGATGGAGATGGGAGCCGTAGATGATGGGTGTGCCAGCAAAGCCGCCTGAGCCAACGCGGTCTTGACCTCAGCAAAAGCGCCGTCCGCCTCTGCTGTCCAGTCGATCTCCTGGACGGGGGTCTTGCCTTTCAACGCTTCATACAGCGGCCGCATGATGTGTGCGGCCCGGGCGATGAAACGGTGGTAGAAAGTCACCATCCCCAGAAACTCACGGAGCGACCGGGCTGTGAGCGGGCGAGGAAACGCCGCAACAGCCTCCACCTTCGCTGGCAGAGGTGTCGCACCGCCCTTGGTGACGCGGTGCCCCAGGAAATCGATGTCCGACACCCCGAACTGGCACTTTGCAGGATTGATGATTAATCCGTGTTCGTTGAGCCGTGTGAAAAGGGCTCGGAGGTGGGACAGGTGCTCCTGCACTGAAGCGCTGGCGACGAGTATGTCGTCGAGGTAAACAAACACAAACGGCAGGTCCCGCAGTACCGAATCCATCAGGCGCTGGAACGTCTGAGCGGCATTCTTGAGTCCAAAAGGCATCCGCAGGAACTCAAAAAGTCCAAAAGGCGTTATCACTGCTGTCTTGGGAATGTCCAGGGGGTGCATGGGCACCTGGTGGTATCCACGCACCAGGTCCACCTTGGAAAACACCCCCGTACCGGCCAGATGCGCCGAAAAGTCCTGAATGTGCGGCACCGGATAGCGGTCAGGCGTAGTGGCGTCGTTGAGTCGGCGGTAATCCCCGCACGGGCGGAACCCGCCGTTCGATTTGGGAACGACGTGCAGGGGGGAAGCCCAAGGACTGTCGGAGCGGCGGACAATGCCCAGGCGCTCCATGGTTGCGAACTCCGCCCTCGCTACAGCCAGCTTAGAAGGGTTCAACCGCCGGGCCCTGGCGTAGACAGGAGGCCCTCCGGTAGTGACGTGGTGTTCCACGCCATGCTTAGTGGTAAGCGCAGAGAAGGTGGGTAGCGACAGGTCTGGAAACTCGGCCAACAGTCTGAGAAACGTGTCTGCACCTGACAGCGAGCCTGACAGCCCGTCGTACGCTGCGCTGCCAAGTGTGCACACGAGGGAAGAAAACGTTAAGGCATCAACCAAACGCCTATTCTTAACGTCCACTAAGAGTCCATGAGCACACAAAAAATCCGCTCCGAGGAGGGGAAAAGAAATGTCCGCTGTCACAAAATCCCAGCTGAAACGCTGTCCTCCGATGCACAAACACATAGGCCTCACGCCGTACGTGCGAATGGGACTGCCGTTAGCCGTCGTCAATCGCGGTCCGTGCCCCCCACGGGCGACGTCTTCACTCGACGCTGGAACTACGCTCCGTTGAGCGCCCGTGTCACACAGAAACAGGCTCCCCGAAACGCTGTCGCTGACGAAGAGGAGCCTGCACGTGCCGCCGACGCTCAGAGCCACTACTGAGCGCCGGCCCCTCCGTTTCCCGGGGTTTGTAGCTGCACGGAGCGATGCATCTCTTCGCCCTTGTCCCGAAACGTGCGTGGTAAACGCACTCTCCGGCGTCTCCACGCCGGCTAGCCACAGCCGTGTCCGGCCTCCGCCACGCTTTCTTGACTGCCGGTGGGCCGCTGAGCGTCGCGGTTAACGTCTCTGCCCCGGGCTGTTGCGTAGCCAGGAAAAAACGATCCGCTTCCTCAGCCAAAGCACGGGGCTCCGTGACAGGCGTGTTGGCCAGCGCCGTCTGTACCCGGGGAGGCAAGTGACGCAGGAAAATCTCCGTGAATAAAATACGGGGATCTTCCCCCCCTAGCAGATTTAGCATTTTCTCCATTAGCTGGGATGGCTTGCTGTCTCCTAGGCCTTGAATGTCAAGTATCTGGCGGGCCCTCTCCTTAGCAGATAAGCTAAATGTCTTAAGGAGAAGGGCCTTAATCGCCTCATATTTGCCATGATGTGGGGGGGCTGCGATGAATCCCACCAACCTGGACGACGTGGAGCTCCCCAGCGCTGCTACCACATGGTAGTATTTTAGGTCCCCGTCACGGACCTGTCGGCAGGCGAAATGTGCCTCCACGTGTGCGAACCATGCCTCCGCGGTGTGCTCCCAGAATTCCGGCAGCTTTATGAAAACATCGCGCTCAGCCATGTTCGTTAATTTTCCGGAAACTTTCTCGGAAAAGTCAGGGTCACCAGTGTAGTGCCGTGAAAAGAGAGTCGGAGGCGGTGTATTAAGAATGGAGTTCCAATCTTTATTATCCATTACTTTCAGAGAGGTTAACACATGCACTGCTCTGCCTGATGAGCTAGCAGGAATGGCAGCTAAAGCTACAGGTGTTCCCCACTAAAGGGTCTGTGTGGCAACACAATAAGCAAGGTGAATTATGTCCAATAACGTGTCACCACAATATACACATATATTCATTACCCTGTAAATACATCCATATCTTTCCAAATATATATGTTTGACTTAAGTAGGTGTCTGAATGCAGGATTTTTCCTTATGCAGGATCTGAGTACCTACAGAGTACTGACTGGGGTAAACACCCTAAAGTTTAGAAAATAACTTCCAGTACTGACCTTTTGGGCATGTAGCTTCCATACTGTAGGCGTACTGACCACTGACCAGCTTCAAGGCCAAGAAGTCCCCCTCATCTTCCATCACCTGTGTGAACAACAGACAGACCAAAACACAGTGATGATCTGAACCTCAGTTGTAATGTTGCCAGAGGCCACTAGGTGGCAGGATGCTGTAAGATAAACCTACTGTGACAGGGCTCAGAACCTCCCCCCTCCTGCCCTGGACTGTGATGTCTGAGCCTCTCATGTCGATGTTCATCTGGATCAGGCTGGCGTCCTCCAGAGCCACGATCAGCTGATCGCTCAGAGACAAACACCACTGCAGCTGCACCAACAAGCATTAAACACAAAACCACGGTGAGACAAAACTCCTCTGTTCTCTTTTTATTTTCTCAAATGTATTTAAAGTAGTTGATAGAAGGCTAAGTACATGAACACAAGTACAATACCTGAATAGGCTACTTTACTAATTGTATGCTAGTTTATAGTTCTACTGCAATATTTTTAAGGGAAAATATTGAGTCTTCGGCCGGCCGGTCCACACACAGGCATGAAAAAAATCTTTCAAAGCTTCGCCCATTCACTTGGGCGAAGATTTTGAATCTTCGCCGAACTGCATTGTGGGGAGCGGAGCATGGCTTTGCAAGCATCGTGAGCATCAAAAGTTGAGCAATGTTCAACTTTTGATGCTCCCGATGCTTTCGAAGCTGGCATCAGCCAATCAAATCCCGTTTATGCAAATCCCGCCAGTACAAGCGCTAGCCAATCAAGCCGTGTGCAAGCTGGGAGAGCCAGACCGCAGTTCATTTCCTCATATTCCAAATGAGAAATTACGGTAGCAAATCACCCGGTTCTTTACGACCAGAACTATTTACCGGGATACAAACCGGAGGAACCAGGCATGGAGGGAGGGAGGTGGCAGAGACAGTGGGTGAAACTGGTAGGTTTTCGCCTGTTTGGGGATTTTATATCCAGTTTACTTCGTTTTAACATTGCTATTGCTTTGTATGTCGGGGGCGGGAGATTCATGTGATTGGTTGTTGGTCGCCTTGGGTACGTGAAATCGCCAAGCTTCAGACACGCCCAGCATCAAGATTTTTAAAGATTTTGTTCATGCCTGTGTGTGGACGGGTTCACTATGTCTTCACTATGTTCATTTGACAGCTTCACTTACTTTGCAGGTTTAGATTATTGAGATATATAAATCACCAAATATAATATGGTAAATTATTAATTATTAAGCAGTATATAATTCAGTACCAACTGCAACATTAGGTGATTAACACATTCATAATTAGAATCACATTCAATTGAATGTATTATTCTGAAATGGGACTAGCAATCTTGCTTTTTGTATATTTTCACCTCAATACTTTTGAAATGTTCACACCAATAACCCTTTCTACCCTGTTGAATAAATACTTTTACCGAGCTACCTAATACCTTCTTCCACTGCAGGCTATTTGTTCACATTTGTCATGCAATCATATTTTGAAGCGTGATTTAATCAAAGCATTGAGTGATTTATTTCAATGTCTACCTCATTGTCCCAGTTGTCATAGGCAACTTGTCTGGTCACCTACAGGCAAATACAAATCGTATCAGAATAACAAAGCAAAACACTTGGTTAAGATGTAGAAATGTCCAATGAAAACAGTGAAACGTTATGAACACTGCAGTCGGCAGTTACCTGGATGTACTCCGGGTCACACTGGATCTTCTCTCTGCTGGGCAGCACAGAAACCAGCGGACACTTCATCATCACACTGTGAGGTCTGCCTCCAAATCTGTTTATCCTCTTCACCAAATTCAGTGTCAGGACATGATGGCCATCCTGAAAGATACATAGTAACCAGATAATTATCACCACAAGGCCCAGCTTTGTTTATATTATGAATTACATATTTCTTAAAAGAGTGACCTACCTGTTGCTGGACCAAACATCCAGTGTAGCTGACTCTAAAAATAAAGTTGTTGTCAGGGTCTTTGTGCAGTGAGAGTCCACAGGAAGACAGCTGCAGGTTGAGTTGATCCAGAGAAGCCAGGTTGACTTGCAGAAAGATAAAGGAGATTTTGAGGCATTTTATCTCATATCCATGTCAATATTTTGTCCCTTGTTGTGTCAGAAAGAACTACCTCGGATCTTTAAGGCCCCAGACAACCAGAGCCCCAGCCCTTCAATCCTCACATTGTGAATCCGCATCTCCATGTAATCAGAAAAACATGACACATCTCCTTCTGAAACGCAAAACATTTCTGAGGTAATACTTGAAAGAAGTACCATAACCAATTGTTTTTTATCACAGAAAAATATTTGTACCTGTTAATCTTGCTGTTGAGGTATCAATCCATTCTCTTTTCTGAATGGAAAGCGCACTCCTCAGGATAAAACAATGAAAAACACTGCGATAAAACAAGAAGGTATTATTAAGTTCAGATCTGAAAATGATGCATCCTTTAAGTATTTTTGATTTTCAATTTTGATACTCACAAAGTTTTAAATGAGACCCCAAATCTTATCTGATCCATTTTGCTTCCACTGATGAAAGCTTACACGGGCAGTTTGACCCTGACTATTTGTAGGCGAGTGGGCAGATGTCACTTTGGAGGAGGAAACATCCCAGGTGTGTTTGTTTTGACATGTTAAAGTGAGAAAAAAAGTCTCAAAGAATGATCATTGTTTCCAGCATGGGTGAAAAACGGGTTTTAAGGCTCCATTCAATCAAATACAAATATTTGTTATATTCTTAGGCACATCTTTTTTTAAATGTATCCTGCCATGGTTCATCATTTTGGAAACTTAGTGGGGTATCCACTCAAATATTAAAATAGAGTTATGTTGGATTTAACAAGGTTTTGCTGCACATAATAAGTATGTAGCTGTCACACTGGTCAGTTGGGTGTTGGATTCTCACCTTATTATAATACATTTCGAAAAAACATTACGTTAAGTCTATCTAAATATTAATCATAATTCAGCACATTTATATCCTGTAAAACTATCAGGAATTGTAAACGTACGGCAAATAAAGAAAGATTAAACTTCAAAACAGGGAATAACATTTTAAAATCATTTATGGTGCTATGCTATTTAATCTGTATTAAGAAAACAAAAATGAAATACAAACTTGGGATTCACTTTTCGTACATTTTAGCAGTACACTCAAAGACATCATAGACACAGTATAATTCATTTATAAACCTTTTTATGTCAGTTTAGTTTAGCTGGTTTCACTTTACTTTATACGTTTATCACTTATAAAACAAAAATAAACTAACCAAACAAAACTCTAAACTGCTAAAACAAACAGACTTCTTTCCCAACCCCCACAAGCCCCCCAGAGCAGTGAGGGACATTGTACCTGACAGCAGTGCGTCACAGATGCTCTTACACCTGCTGTCACAGTTAACAAAGCCTCACCTCAGTGCACCTGTGCTGCGATGGCTTTTATTCAACCGTCCTGGGACGCTTCAAAGACCTCCTTGTTCGACTCCTCATGTCAGAGCTTTGATCCTGAAGGGGAACACAGCAGAACAAACAATATAAACACTGTCATTCATACACTTTACTACATCCAAACACTTCACACACCAGAACAGGCAGTGGGAGCCCTCTACATATGATTGCTAGGGTTAGGGTAACCCTAGGAATACTCCCATTGGTTAATGAAAACTAAATGTCTGTGCTGCTCTCCCTCTAATGCTTCATGAGACCAAAGTACAGAACATTCTCTACAATGAATGGCCTTGTGCTCTTTATGAGGCCGGATGCCAGGCGGAGGTAGCATTAGAGCAGGAGAGGCCATTAGAGCCCGGTGCAGGTGGAGGAGGAGGCGCTGAGTCATCTGTGGACAAAGCAGCAGCAAGGGGACACCAGTCAGCCTGATGATGCATAATGGAGCAGGCGGAGGAAGAGCGCACAACACATGCTGATGGGTTTCATCGAGATCAAACATCCTCTACTTCCTGGATTTCTGATACACCAATAAACAGAGAGTGGATGTCAACAACCACCCTTTAATGCAGCTGGGTAAAATGTTGTGTTTGTTATTAAATATTTTTTTATTTATGTTTATATTTTAGCCCTATATTTTGACTTTCACTGCTGTATATCTTAGATTCTCATTACACTTTTAATTTTCTTAAGGCACGTAAAGAATGTTACGTGCCCACTAAGGTCTAGGGGACCTGGAGACAATAAGACACAACAACCAATAAAATGAGGGAGTCAGCGTAAAGGTTAACAAAAAGGTTTATTCTTTGTGCAACAAAGAATACTGACCATAGATTCTCTTTAAGGGAGGAGGAGGGGAGAAGGGAGAAGAAGAAGGAGACAAAGACAAAGGAGATTGTGCCAAACAAAAGAAATAAGTATAACAAAACCAGGCCTATCTCTACATCTATCCTCTGAAACCAAAACTCAAACACTCACTAAGCTACTCAGAACTGGACAAAGCAAAAATACAGGGGTGGCAACAATCCGCTAACCTGTATCTAACATTAGTTACCTACGTGATGAGAAATGTACAGGGTACCCCAGACTTACCTAACTCTAAAATAAACAATGCTGCCCAAGCCCATTGTTGCCTACTAGAGATATAGAAATAGGTAGATTATACATTTTAGTAAACTCAAATAGTGGTAAATAGGTCATTTGCAGGGGAATATATTAATTCTGGTAATAGCTGCATGAGTATATCTGGCAGCTGGATGGTGTATTTAATCTGAAATAAACTGCAGTGCAGAAACACTGTGTTCCTAAAAGCTTCTTGACAAGGGAGGTCTATGGTAGGCTACAGAACAACAAGCTGTATCCGGCTTTAACACAGACATTACTTGTTAGTAGCATCAATTCATTGTTGGTGGTCTTTTTATTGGGCTTATTGTACCTCTTGTGCAGTAAATAAATAAATCAGGTATCAAAGTCTGATCTCCAGATTGAACAAAGCAGCCATCACAAGAGAGTGAGATATCCAGCTGGTCTTTATGTTAAGTCCTGTCAGAGATCATATTTATGTTACCAATCAATTAAACATTGATCATTATCATTCCCTATAATATATACAATTTGAGTTGTGTTGGTGGCTTGTAAGCATTCTCAGGCTTCTCTTTCTTTAGGTATTAACAGCATCCTCACTTGGAAATTTGAAAGATTGAAAACAAATGAGTTGAACCTGAGTTTGTCTCTGAAGGAACTGCAGAAGGAGCAGAGGAAGCAGAAGCAGGAATGATTAAAGGACAGTGCAGGTACATGGATCCAGGGGAGATACCTCAGAAGCTGGAGGACCTTCAGACACCACATCGCCCCCCGGGACAGACCTGCAAGACCCTGTTCTGGAAGATCCACTCAACCTACTATCAATATGAAAAACAAATCAATTCACACCGAGTTCCCACAGCAGCGAGGTTCTTTTTTATTAAAGGTATGAAGGGATGTCTGTTTCTGGTAAATGTAATGCAAAAAAAGCCTTTGTATGAAAACAGATATCTGTACAAATTATTTGTGTATCAATCTTTTAAATGAATGAATCCAATCAGAACTTCATAATTTCTCACTTTCTTCACACACAAAAATGTTTTTCGACAACTTTACACTCTGCTTTAATATTTAATTTAGAGTAATGGAAGAATTATCTACAGGTTTTATGATCTGATCTTTTTTATTTTAAAGTGACATAGTCACTTAATTAAAATCCAGCAGGAATGTCTTTCAGGCTTGCATCAAACCACACGCCTCTTCAGCACGGCTGTGCATCCGAGGGACTTTTACTACCCCACAAGCATAGAAAAACACAACTCTCCCAACTGTTCACAGCCCAAAGGTTAATGCGGAAATATTTCATGATAAATAAGGTGATTCGAGCTTCTCGTCCCAAAAGCTTTTATAAATGAGCACATCCGCACCAACAGGCAGACCATTACACCTGCTAACAGCCAGCAGCATAACTACAAACACGGACTCCTTTAAGCATAGTTTAGCCAATGGACCAAATCATGCCTTCAATACAATATCTGAAAAGAAAAAGCATTGTATTGAAGGCATGAAACACCTTAAGATAGGGAGCTAGAGGTGGAGCCAGGTGAATAAAATACTTATATAAATCTATATGAAAGACGACAGGCAATTAAAAACTCAAAACCTTTATTTTACACCGCAATACTAAAATATTTCAATACAGAAAGTGTGAATTCCTGCTGGCACGTTCAATCAGTTCTTTAAGTCCCTTTGAAAATCTTAGCTTAAACATTCCAACCACTTTACAATCAGAACAGACAACACAACACATCCTGCCTTATTGAAATTATTTTCGATCACATTGAAAATAAACCTACCACGTAATACTTAAATTATTAGACTGTAACGAGGACAAAGAAGAAAAGCATTTACTGACAGATGCATGTTGTAGGTTAAAAAGGCAGACTTTGTGTTGCACATATTTGGAAAAATAACTGACCACTACCAATTGCAGGTGTGACTTTGGTCCTTTTTGTGACCCTTGTAGGTATAAACAAATACCTCAGCCCAATTGAGGATGGTCCGCTCTAAATTTGGTTATGTGATGGTCCAAGGTGTTCTTGCTAGTGAGGTGAAGAAGATCCTTTTCAGGATTAAGGCAGTCGTGCAGCAATTCCATTGTTGGTTTGTGCCGGTGCCCCAACAATGTCTTCAGCTTCTCCATAACTGACTCCAACCCGGATTCAGACGAAAACCTGGGCTGTCCGTGTCCGAGGTCCCTATACATGTGAATTAAAGTGTTGGCAGTTCAATTAATGTTACGTCAAAAATAAGCCACTGTCAAGATTGTATTATACCTAGTCAAATTCAGTTTTATTTTAGACTTCCCTTTGATTCACAAAACATAGAAAATGCATTCGTAACCACTTCAAACCCAAACTTTCAATGGGAACTTGTCAGACAAACATTCTCCATATCAACCTCAAACTTCAACACACTTTCAGTGTTTTCCCAACACAGCCTTCACGAACACAAAGTCACATTTTCACACAGAGAGGGTGGTAACAAGGAGAAAAATAAAGCACACAACCAGACACAGCATTCACATCAAATCAGACAGCAAGAGAAAGCTACAAAAAACGTACATATACTCAAAGCACTTGACATTTAATTGTTTTTTTAAAGAATTAATAAGGTTGATAGAAAACAATGAGAGAAAGCAGAGACCATAAGGGATCTCAAGACGCGATAAATGTCCTTGTGATGTCATTAGGGGCACACTCGTACTTGCTTCTTCCTCTCACACTCGCACAAAGCCACTGGTTCTTCTCAACTCTCGCAGGCATTTGTTTCTTTAAAAAAAAAAAAAATGCACAAACAGTCCTTCTCACACTTCTTTCATTTTTGCTCTCCCGTTCGCTCACTCACTCGGTCCAACATCAATCCCACTCATTGAGCTTGAGAAGTGAAAAGAGCAGACAAGATTTCTATATCCATAAAAAGGTGAGAGGAAAAAAGACAACACCCACCGTCTAACACAGTATATGCAGAGTGAAGCTGTGTTCTTTGATGGCAAAGCATTTACACATGGGAAGAGGGGAATTGATACTGAGACCGGTCGAACATTGCTGCCAATGAGGCGCTTCCTCCCGGGAAATTGGGGAAAAGTTGGTGAACTGCAGAAGAGATTTTCATGAAGGCGTTTCCAAAGACCACAACAAAAACAAACAAAATAAGCAATCAACTGCATACAGATATACAATTATAATAAGCCCGTTTTACAAAGGGGATGAGGGGCTCTCGAGATACTCGTGCATGTTTATAAATATTTATCTCGCATGCACAGTCATCTCTCTTTAACATTTTCTAAAAAAAAACAAAGAAAATGGAGTGTG